TTGATATAAATAATTACCATTAAAAATATGTTTATGCTTTATTTAATGGGAACCAGACAGAAATGTTATATATCGTAATCAGAATCCACTTGCATATTCTCAATTAGAGAGACAGACGGCCAATTGATTATTCAGGGTCTAACAAGTCTAGTGGCATGAAACCGAATATGAGTTCACCATGTACTTTCAGCCATTGGATCAACTGGACTCCATACAGTTCATGGCATTGGTTGGAAGTAACTTGTTTTTCTATTCCAAGTATCTAGATATGTGTTCATATATTCAACAGAGAAATGGCTCTCACATGGAGATTGGTGAAGATCTTCAAGCTATTTTCAAGATTTTTAAAAACCAAAATAAAAGTGTACCTTGATTCCTTAATAAAGGCTAACAAAACCTAAGAACTCTTTGGATTTGGCTGGCATTAAATCCATTCAGCAAGATGTCACTGGTCATCTAAGGTTGATTAGATATACAAGGTGGGAGCAACACGTAACGGATAAATAAATAAGGGAAAACAAATAACTTTTCTAATTAGTTCAGTATTTCTTATGATTAAGTGGAGATTACATTGAGGAAAAGAAAACAAAGGGATACTAAATGAAGAACACATTCCTAAAAAAAAATTGACATACACCTTATATAAACTTATCCCCAGGATTTGAGGAGAAAGCTAGGAGAGACTAAGCCTGAAGAGATCGGGGCTGGAGAAACTGACAAATTGGTCGAGCTGGACCCAAAGAGGGTGGCCAGTAGTCCAATGCCAATGTCCAAAGGGGTGTAGCGACCTCAGGCTTGACTCTGGCAAGCATCAATATTGAAGCAGTTCTATCATAAAGTTCACAGCACCAAGCAACAGAATTGGTATATGCAATAATGGCAGTTAGGATGAGCGAGAGCATGTCAACTGCTCAGTCCTCTGGGGGTAAGGCTCAAGTCTGGGCAGTGTCAGGACTTTGGCCAAACGACTTGGTCTTTAAGACTGGCAAGTGTTTAAGACTTAGTGTTTAAGTGTCAAGGATGACACTTCTTCTGTTACCAGCGAGGTGATTTTACATGTGGTCAGGACCTAGCATCTGTGCTCATGGCTGAGAGTCTCTAGGGAAGAATAGAAATTGACACAAAGCTTAAGTTTACAAATCTTTTCCTGATTTCCACAGTGGTATCTCAGATCCTTAAGTTAAATTATACTAAAATATCATAAACTCTACAAATAAAATGTTATAATTGTCCCCCAACAAAATAAACAAGAAGAGACAAAGCATAAAACCCCTCAAATGATTAACAAATAGTATTTTTCATTTGTGCAACAAATATTGACTATTGTTTTCACTAAAGTATTTTTAGGTCCAAATATACTGAAAGTATTTACTTAATTTATCATCAAATTACTCAGAATAAAATAGTGTAGAAAGTAAAAGCCACCTTTCAGTTGAATTTTAAGTAGGATATTATTCAGATTTTCAATTTCGATTCTTTCAGAGCAGGATATAGAGGTGAATTCCTTTGAGGGATAAATGAAAATTTTGATCTTAAAATAAAACAAGTAGTTTTAGTGTGTGATTTCAATTATTTCTACATTTTAAAGTTATTCATAGCATGAAACAAGATACAGTATGATAAGAAAAATTGTTTTGTGTCAACATAATCTATCAAAATACAGTAAATATCCTTTGACAACCTCTGGAGACTATGCGTGTGTCCAGGATTGTCGTCTCTCTGCCTTATTCCACCATGCAGCGTGACCAGATCAAGAATGAGCAAAATGCTGGCTTTCTCACATTGCTTTAACAAACCAAGCCAAGGGAAAAAAGAAAGAAAGAAAGAATGACACAATGAACAGATTATATTATTTTCTTGTCTGATGGAGTTTATTTTAAACTTCATGTGAAATTTAATCAAATAAAAAGTTTGTGTAGGAAAGCCATGGTAAATTTCAGATTTTTCCTTTACCCCCCTAGCCTATAATGTGATAAATCTATAATAATCATTCTATAGCTTATAATAATAATAATAATAATTTTTATTAAATTACTAGCTTGCAAGTCTGTGGTCATAATTGCAACACTCTTGCAGAAATGTTTTGCCTAACAATGCTTGAGTGTTGAAAGAACACCGTTCTAGAGTTTTTATCGAAGTCTTTCATGCTGTACAAATTGCTTTTTATTGAGTGAACCTTAAGAATGGGAACGTGATTGACTTTGTCCCATTTCCCACACAGAAGGGTCCCGATGCTTTCTGCAGACCTAGGCACACACCATATGTTGCCCCAGCACAGAGCAGGTTACCCCGTGGAAACCCAGAAGTCTTCCAGGGGAGGACGGACTGGGTGCAGCCTTAATTAACTAATTACCCTGGGGGGAGGGTTGGGGGAGACCTGGGAATCCAATTGAATCTTGTTGTATGAAACCTCCGTATCTGAAATGTTTTATAGACATCAAAAAATAAACTTTCACGAAAACACTGTACAAACACAAGTTCTATGTTGTGAAATCCTTCTTAAATAGAAATCAGACTGCGCTGTTCATATCGTGTTTTTCAGACTGGCTAAACACCCGGTTTATCACTGTGTACTCCACTGAGGGAAGCACGTGTGCTGTTCCCACCGAATGACACAGATTTCAAAAAATAAGTATGATTAATTAGATAAGTTAAATGACTGATGTAAAAAGTTCCTGCAGCGAGCTCTCCGTTTGGTCATGTACACGTGCTCAATATTATAAAACCCTTTAAAGACGATTTTTAAGAAGTCCAGCTACCTCAATAGAATAAAATATTTAAAAGAGAGAAAGAGGAAAAGGATAACCACAGTGTACATACTGTGGTGGATCTACAGAAGAATATATCACGTGGGAAAGTAATCTAAGGGAGCCCATAATAATTATTATAAACAACAAAGGTGTATACGATAGCAATAATGGTGAGCTAGAACATTTCACTTTAAAATCGAGGCAATTAATATAAAGCTGTAAACAACAGCTTACGTCATCTCTCCCCTGCCCCCTCCCCGGGTACAATTTTTACTTATTGTTACACATTAACCTCAGCGTCTCTCCAGCTGACAAAATGTGCTCTGAAGCCTCGGCAACATCAAAATAACAATCATTAAAGTCAGAAGGAAGGACTAGGAGGCTAGAAAATCCTGTTGAAATGACACCTTCTCAGACATCCTGTCTGCCTTTCTCCTTTATGGAGCATTTCCCGTGGGTGAGAACAAGCGATATTTCTGCCCCTCGCGCGCTGTGACCTGGGAAGCTCAATTTCCATCTGCAAATTGAGGACCCTGGAGTTTCTGATCTGTGATTCTAGGGTTTAGTTACAGCCTCGGGCTGCTGTAGGGACTGGGGCAGCCCGCGCATGCGGCTGCTGTCTCGGGATGGAGGCTCCGTTTCTTTGTCTTGGTCACTGACCTTGCTCTGCAGGGCTCTGAGACATCCTCTCAGAGCCTCAGACCACAGACTCCTGCCCCTCGACCTGATTTCATGGCAGCTGACGGAACCTTCTGGAACAGATCACTGCCTTGGCCACAGATTCACTGAGTCCAAGGCTTAGACTAGAGCCCCTCACCCAGTATGGCTGGTTCTTCCTGCCCAGGTTAGCAGGCAACACTGCACACTTAAGCCAGGGCTTTGTTTTGTGTTTTTTGATTTTTTGTTTGTTTTGTTTTGTTTTGTGGGCCTCACTGCCTAAAAAAAATTTCCAAGACCTGGATTCTAAAAATCTTACATCTAGAACCCAGGCACTGGTCAATCATGCACCATATTTCCCCACAAATGTCATTCTCGTTCTTTGGAAATGACATTGGTTTCCAGTTGTCTAGGCTTCCTAACTTTCGGCAAAGTGGAAACGCTTTTAGAGGAGAATACTTTTTCTCAACTCTCGAGGAATGACTTCCACTCATATGACACCCTGGCCACCCGTGACCTCCTCCCTTCTCTCACTCCTCCCCTTGGTGCAGGTCGTTGGCCTAGTGAGTTGGCACAAGAGAGAGTAAGGATGACAGAGGAAGCGTGACTCTACTCTGCTCCTCCGTGCTCTAAGTGTCAGAGAGGCAGATTCTGCCCCCTGGGGGACAAGGAGAAAGAAGATTGGGACAAGTAGAAACAAGACAAGAGACAACAGGAAATCAAAACGGGCAAGTGGAGAGCCTCTCTCTGTGAAGTGCCAGACATTAGCTATATGTCACCAATTGGCTTCTAAGCTTGGAAAGTGGTGAAGGAGCTGTGACTAGTTACACAGTTCACCGTGCCCACAAGATAGATCAATTGCTCCGAGAAACACAACGATTCCCGTAGCTAAGAGCAGAAGAAAGCGCCCCAGAGGATCTTGATCAAGGGAGGTATTGTGTGGTGCTGTGAGCAGGCCTCGCCACAGCCACACGATAAGCCAATGTCAGGTTGAACATCACAGAGCTACTCATTAACATGCCCTCTCGTGCAGGCCAATCGGCCACCATAGGCTCTGTGAAAGCAATGCTGAGTATTTACGGGAAGGTGATAAGAAGAGCAATAGCACATAATTCATGCACGCATGTCTCTGAGAGTGTGAGTTCATCCAGGTGACCACTTGGAATGCTACGAGCAGATGGACTGTATACGCGCACGTCCTTCAGGAAATAAATCTTCAGGAAGCTTCTGATAGACATTGGGCAGTAATGAGTTGGAGATCATATACCCTCGGAAGTACATGGAATGTGGCTTCTCTTTGCTAATTTCATAGAGATCCACTAAGGCTTGGTGACTAAGCTAAATATACCACCAAGCTGGCATCCTCTTGGGCGAGCTAAGGGGCCTAAGAGGGACACACTGGTGGGGAGAGGAGCAGCCAGAGCCCCTGCCCAGATGCGTACAAGGGGAAACAGGGAGAATGGGGAGTGTTGAGACTGTTGGACTTGTTGACACTGGATGTGAGGGGACGCTGCCATTGCAATGGAGCTAACAGAACAGAGCCCCTCCGCAGACGGAAGTGTCATAGGGTGTGGGCACGGGAGCAGGTCTTACCACAAGCTCCTCTTCCTTTGAAGACTTCTTTGGTGTCTTAGCTTTTTTGGTTCTAGCAGATGATGAACTGATGGAGGCAGAGTGTGGCCTTGAAATGGTTCCTTTGCTGAATTGAGTCCCGGGTTGGGAGGAGGGCAAAGTGACTTCTTTCCCCTTGGCTGATCTCATGCTCTGGCACACAAAAAAAGAACCAGTTTTGTTATTATCATTTCGTTCTTCAGATTTGGGGCCCTTTCTTTTCCTCCCCTGCTGCCCCTTGAGCTGGAATTGCAGGGTTCAGTCCTAAAGAGGATGGACCCGTCCTTGCTCCCATCCCTCAATCTCCCCGCTCTGATTTAATTGGCAGGCTAGACCTGTTTTTCCACTCCTCTCATTGATACTAGTACACTAAGAAAAACATACCCACAAACCAATGTTTTCTGGAACCACCTGGAAAGGAGGAGTCTTTGTGGAGGGCAGGTGAGGGGGTAGCTTGAGGTTTTCATCTTATTTGTAAGAAGGCAGGAAAATGGAAGGCAGGAGTGAAGGGATAGGACTCTGAAGAGATAGGGCATTGAGCCTAAGGACCAGCATCCCGGGATGACACTTCTCACTTTATTTATGCCAGGCTTGCTTTCAGCACTGCTTACCCTCCCACACTCCTTCTCACTGCCCTCCAGCATCAACCTCCTTGGCTCCCATTCACACTTCCTGCCTCGCTTTGAAGTATTTTTTCCTTCAAACTCAGACGGGGCTGGCCTGGTGGTGCAGCGGTTAAGTTTGCATGGTCTGCTTTTGTGGCCCGGGGTTCACTGGTTCGGATCCTGGGTGTGGACGTATGTACCACGTGTCAAGCCATGCTGTGGCAGGCATCCCACATAAAATAGAGGAAGATGGGCACAGATGTTAGCTCAGGCCCAGTCTTCCTCAGCAAAATAAAAGAGGAGATTGGCAGCAGATGTTAGCTCAGGGCTAATCTTCCTCAAAAAAACCCAAAAAACAAAAAACACCAAAAGAACAAACTCAGATGTTAGAAAGTGAAAAAGCCTTGGTATGGTATGTATAGATTCTTCAAGCCTGATGCCAAAATAAGAGAAGCAGAGAAAAAAGAACTCAAATGCAAACCTTTACGCTTAGACCCTCAAACTTCCTTCTTGTTTCCATGTCCTCTTTCTGCTTGTTCATCTGTGAAATTGAAAGTCTGTATCATTTGCAAAGATTAAAAAGGAGAATTTTCTATAAAACGTCCTTAAGTAATGAAAAAGTAGCAGTTTAAACCGTTTCACTGCCAAAACTATTATGGGAATATAAGCTATAATGTTGAATACAAATTAGAATAAAAAATAAATTTGTGCCCAGAAGAAATGCATTTAAGAAGAAGTAAACAGATATTGGGGCTGACCCCATGGCCGAGTGGTTAAGTTCATGCGCTCTGCTTTGGCAGTCCAGGGTTTCGCTGGTTTGGATCCTAGGCATGGACATGGCACGGCACGTCAGGCCACGCTCAGGCAGCGTCCCACATGCCACAACTGGAAGGACCACAACTAAAAAAATATACAACTATGTACTGGGGGGATTTGGAGAGAAAAAGTAGAAAAAAAAAGGAGTGAACAGAAATAGATAAAATTGTAAACATTTAAGGTTATTAGCATTTGTTTATTGGTTTAGGCAGAATAGAGATTATAGAGAAATGTGAATTTTTTGCTTATGTGGCGATAATTTGTTTCATATATTACTATAATAGCTATAAATCCCAGGCCTTATCAGATGTTTTGCAGAAATTTCAGATAATTTAGTAGTCAAAATCCAATAATGAAATGAGTGAAATTTTAGTTTAAAAAGTCAATTCTAATTCCCAGGCATAAAAGACATTTTATCAAAATGTATGTATTTATAAAGCAGTGGAAGATGGGCACGGATGTTAGCTCAGGGCCAGTCTTCCTCAGCAAAAAGAGGAGAACTGGCAGCAGATGTTAGCTCAGGGCTAATCTTCCTCAAAAAACAAAAACAAAAACAAAAACAAAACAAAATATATGTATATATTTTTTAATTGAGCTGTAATTGACATATAACATTATATTAGTTTCAGGTATATAATACAATGATTCATATTTGTGTATACTGTGAAATGATCACCAAAGTGAGTCTAGGTAACATCCATCACTACACACAGTTACAATTTGTCTTTCTTGTGACGAGAACTCTTAAGAGCTACTCTCTTAGTAGTCTTCAAATATGCAATACAGTATTATTAACTAGAGTCACCATGTTGCATGTTACATCCCCATGACTTCTCTATTTTGTAATGGAAGTTTGTACCTTTTGACCACCTTGACCCATTTCACCACCCCACTCCCCACCTCTGGCAACTGTCAATCTGTTCTCTGTATGTGTGAGTTCATTGGTTTTAGATTCTGCATATAAGTGAGATCACATGGCATTTGTCTTTCACTGTCTGACTTATTTCATTTAACATAATTTCCTCAAGGGCCATCCAAGATGTCTCAAATGGCAAAAAACATATTAATGCATGCTTCGATGATATTAAGATTTTCTCATAATATGAATTTACGAGTAATGCCAGTGATTCTAATTCTGGCTAATCTTATTATGAAGTTAAACAATGATGAGAAATACATCTAACCATTAATCTCATTGGTATCTGAACAACAACTACAACAGATTTTCAAAAATATCTCTCACCTACTGATAGAACAGAATTCAATAGAAAGCACATCTGTCTCCTGAAGTCTTAGGGCCTGGGAGGCTAGTTACTGATGTCCATGAAGGATTGTATTTAGATGGTCTCAGTGGGTTTGACCTCAAGGCTTCTATAATTAAGCTTCATTATAATGGTTTAAAAATCATCTTCTCCATTATCACTATAAGAACTTGCTGGAACTATTTAATAAATCATCCCTCATTCATTACAAACGTATTTATTGGGTGCATACTATGTGCCAGACACCATCCTAGGAGCCGAGTGTACACTGCTAAGCCAAATAGACAAAGAAGGAAGACCTGTCCAGGCGGGGCTAATTTCGATGGAATGGGCAGGAAAGCCCTCCCTTGGGGAGAGGACATTTCGGCTGAGATCTAAAGAATGAGAAGCAGTAACCAGAAAAGTGGGAGGAAAAGAAGTAGGGGCAGGCGGGGTATAACTCTCTATTCCTTCCCCTCAATTTTGCTGTAACCTAAAACTGCTCCAAAAAACAAAGTCTATTTTTTTAAAAAGTGGGGAAAAGAGCATTGGAAACGGAAGAAAAAGCATGCCAAAGATGCCAGAGCAGGGAAGAGCTGGGCGGGGGTGGGGGGGGGGGCGGTGCTAAGATCAGGGAGAAAGTACAAACCTTGGATTTTATTGTAAATGCAATGGAATATCATCGGATCATTTTAAGTGTGTGTGTGCATGGTAATATTTATGCTGTGAAGACCTCATTCTGGGGGAGGTATGTTTCTGGTCATAACCAAATAGCTGCTATCAAACCAAGCGTCCCACAGATGACTGAAAACGCTGGAAAAAATATTAAAAAACAACTACCTGAAGACAATGGAAAGAGATCAAAACTGGACAGATTTTGGAGGGCAGTCAGCACTTCAAAGAGGGGAACAGCGTAGGGTGAATTTCCCATTGTTATGGCTTTTAATTTGACTGCAGTCCCCAGTCTGTGCTGGATGGAGTAACTAAAACTACGATGGAAAACCTGAAGCCTTTCAGGATTGCTGAGGACAGAGTCAAGGCAACCACAGCCAATGAAAGTGAGACAAGGAAATCCCAAGGAGAGCCAGACTGGGGAGCCCCAGTTCTGTGTATAAGCTCTGTCTGAATCTCTGGCCGATGCCTGAACCATGCTTACAGCCAAGCTAAGGTTCAAAGATTGAACTGAGACTTAAGCTGCCACCAATTGCAGGCAAGACAGAGCTTATGGTTTGAATCCAACCAAGTTAATTGCTTGATTTTTAAAAGTAACACATAACATTCATAATGCCCATAAAATCCAAAAATACTCAGTGTACAAAGATATAAGAATGTGTTTTCTATTCTCTAGTGAAAAGACTATTAACAGAGACTGACACTGAGATGGTGGCTCAAAGATAGCGGAATAAGATCTCTAAAGCGCTGAAAGAAAAAAAAAAACCCACTAACTCAGAATTCCGTACTGAAGGAAAATATCATTCAAGATTGAAAGCAAATGAAAAATATTTTCAGATAAAGGAAAAACAGAAGGATTTCATCACCAGCAGACCTGACCTACAAGAAAAGTTAAAGGAAGATTTCAGACTGAATGGAAATGATCCCAGAAAGAAGCTCTAACCTTTAGGAAGGAATGAAGGGCATCAGAAAGGTAAATACATAAGACCATTTTGACCTAATGTCTTTCAAACGTGTAAGGCTGTTTAAAGCACGACTTGTAACATTGATGTCAATATAATAATTGGACAGCTCTAACTTAAAGAACAGGAAAATAAATAAATCTCATAAACAAAGCTATATATTTGCAAGGTTTCTATATTTTACAAGAAATTGCCCAACATTCACACTAAATGGATTGTAAAATTTAAGGATGTAAATTATAATTGCTAGAGCAATCACTAAAAGGTAGGCAAAAGGCCAAAATGATAATAGATAAATTAAAGTGAAATTCTAAAATGTATTAAAAGGAATAAACAGAAGAAAAACAACAAAAAACAAATAGCAAAATGGTAGGCCTAAATACAATCCTATCAATAACAATAATATTGAATGATGATGGACTAAACAATCTAGCTAAATGCAGAAATAGCTGGAATGTATAAACCAGCAAGACCCAACTATTTACTGTGTATTAACAGAAGCACTTTAAATATAAATACACAGAGAGGTTGAAAATAAATGCATTGAAAAAAGATACACAATGCAAACATAAGAAAGTTCAAGGGGCTACATTTATGTCTAATATGTATAGTAGATTTCAGAATTAAAGAATTACTAAAGATAAAGAAGGACATTTCATCATGATAAAAGGGTTGCTTCATGGGAAGACATAACAATCATAAACGTGTTTGTGCCTAATAACAGAGCTTTAAAAAACATGAAGTAAAAATTGGCAAAATTATAGGGAGAAATAAATAACATGCACCTCTTGGCAATTGATAGAAATAGAAAAAAAAGTTAAAGACACATAGATGACCTGAAAAACACTATCACTACCTTGATCTAATTGATAACACCCAAGAACTGGAGAATACAAATTATTTTCAAGTATATAGAATACAGTCCCATGACAGACTATATGCTGTTTGGCCATAAAATAACTGCCAATACATTTATAAAGATTAAAATCATACAGAGAATGTTTTCTGATCACAATGGAATTAAACTAGAAGTCAATAACAAAAATATATCTACAAAAATCACTAATATTTATAATTTAAGCAACACAGTTCTAAATCACAAGGGAAATTAGAAATTAGAAAATATTCCAAACTGAATGAAAATACAGGATATCAAAATTTGTGGGATGCAGATGAGATAGTGTTTTGAGGGAAATGAATAGTTTTAATTGCTCATACTAAAAATAATAAAAAGTCTGAAGTCGGTTACCTAAGGTTCCACACTAAGAAGGCAGAAAAAGAAGAGTAAAATAAATTAAAAGTAAGTAGAAGAGGAAAAAAGGATAAAGGTCAGAGCAGATATTGATAAAATTAAAAAAACAAACAACAGAGAAAATAGAGCCCAAACTAATTTCTTGAAAAGATCAGGAAAATTGATAAAGCTCAACTAGACTGATCAAGAACATAATTTACTAATATCAGGAATGAAAGAGGATTTCATTTCAGGTCCTCCAGATATTAGAAGGACAATAAGGGAATATTATGGAAAAACCCATACCAGTAAATTCATAATTTAATTAAATGGACAAATTGAATAATACAACCTAACAAAACTGACACAAAATGAAATAGAAAGTATGAATAGTTCTATAGCTACTAAAGAAAATAAGTCTATTATCAAAAACCTTCAGAGAAAGAAAACTCTAGGCCCAGATAGTTTCACTGGTGAATTCTTTCAAACACTTAAGAAAAACATAACACCAAATCTTTTCAATAACACCACTAAAATTTGCAGAAAATACAGACGGAAGGTGTATTTCCCAACTCATTTTATGAGTCCAGCCTAACTCTAACACTAAAGCCCCAAAAAC